CTGTTGCGAGGAATGGATTGTGTGGGAAGTTTGTTCAGAAGTTTTTACCTATTCTCCTCTTAAAGCGAGAGAGAGCTGTTGGTGTTGCCCTCCCAGCAGAAGTCAGCGAGTATGAGGGGGATTAATCTCTGCCTTGGAGAGGAACTGTTTTGACTTTTAGGAGACTAGAAAGCTAATGGAAATTATTTGTTCCAAAAAAACATTACCACATAAGCTTGAGTCTTGACTTGCTTCCTGTCCTCCCCCAAGGACAGTATGGAAAGTTTCCTCCAACAAACCCCCAAATCCATGCCCCAGATGCCACAGAGACAGAAAACAAAAATTACATGCCCTCCTACCCTTACTTAGGATTTTACCAAAGAGCATCTAAATGAGAAGCTCCCTCAGTTAAAACTGAATCTTTGCTGTTGAAAATGGATGTAGCCCATTTGTTTTTGCAGCATAATTTATACTATATAATGTGACACTTTCTGTCCCCAGTTCTGGCCTGGATATTCCTTTCTCTTGCCCTGGTGTATATCAGCAGTAACCCCATCGGGTGGCTGCTCTGGCTGCTCTTATTTTGCAGGTAGCTTTGTGGGAACATGATTAACTGAATTTACAAATCACTAGAAGGTCATGTTTTCTACATATAGAGCACAACTCTAAAATTTGGAAATACTTTTTTTTCCATGAGTTGTTTTGAAACATTGATAGAAGCAGCAATTCAAAGCAAATCTTTCCCTCTTGTTGTTGTAGAAACCGGATAGTTGGTACTTTCAGGCAGGAACCCTTATCTTTTGCAGAGTAGAGGCTCTTGTTCAGTTAGATCTGCATGTTTATTTGTTTGTTTTAAAAATTAAATTTCCCCTGAAAAGCAATGTTTTAAATTAAGAAAAAAAATATTTATAGAACTTAAAAACAAGCTTCAAGAAACTCTGCACTTAAGTTCTAAGGGTTCTGCAAATCCATAAACATCATGGGGGTTCTTGCACTCCTAATTATGAATGTTTAGATTTTGGTGTTCATTTCCTCTGACTGAAATACTGCAGGCTTAATTATTCATCCAGGATGTACATGAATGTGGAATTCAAGCCTTTCCATTTATTTTAAGTGGATGTCATGTTTGTAAAAAGTGCCAGATTGATGGGCAAGATTCAGCCTCTCTGATAACATATGCATTGTACCCAAAGAAGTAAAAATTCTAGCAGCTAAAATTATTGGGTCAAATTCTTCACTAGTGGAAATCAGCCTGCTGAATTTACTTCTGTAGCTATCCCCTCAGCTCTGTGTCAGGCCAGTTCTTACACAGCCCAGTGCCACTTGCTTTGCAGGAGTAGCTTATTGGAATTCAGATCATTGTGGTTTTGCATGGAAAGCTTGTGAAAACTGGAACTGAAACAAGACCGATTCATTTAACCAGGGAGACAGAGAAAATAGCTTTCAGGCATTGGGGGCCTTGAACAGATCAGAGCTGGTGGTGGCTCCACATCCTGCCCTAATCATTATAAATCAGGAAATGGTTTGTTTTACATTTTGCTCTTACAAAAACTAGTGCATCTTTAGCCAATTCTCCCCTGTTTTGTAAATAGCAACCCAAGCAGTCCTATCAGTGTAATGCAGTAATAAACTAGTATTTTTCTATCAATTATAGTTCAGAACCATATTTATTTATCTATTTATTTGTTTATCCATTTACTGGCATGAGATAATACTAAGGAATGCCACATAACAATAAATAGAAGGTGAAGATATATTTTTTTGGACATAAATATGTATCTGAACATAAATATGTATTGATAATATCTGACTTGTTAAGGTGAGCTGTTCAGGAAATAGTACCAGCTGTGCAAAGTGGTCAGTCCTGGAGCTGTGGTCCAGGAGAAAGCCCCAGGGCTTTGGCTGTGCGAGCAGCAGGAGGCCAGGACATGGGCTGAAGCAGTGTCATGCTGGCATCTGAGTGACATGTTGTCATGTTCCTTGCCACATTGTGGCCTGTGTCCACGTGTGAACAGATGTGAGTCCAAAGATGGCACAGCCTAGGCACCGTCCTGCCAGGCTGTGCGGAAAAGTCAGGTGCGAGGTTGGCCATATGGACCTGAGGTGATACTGCTCCTTCTCACAGCAGAAGAACGTATAGACACAGCCATTGGCTCTCATGATGTTTCTGCCTGGACACAAAGTTCAGGACTGGACAGGACCAAAAGCTGCCCTACTCATGCCATCACCCATACGCTCTTGGCATGGTGGGGTAGCTTGGTCAGGTGATTGCATCAAGCAGCATTTTGACTTGGCAGGAAGCAGCATAATGAGTGTTTTCATTCATAGTGTAAGCACTTACTCTTTCCTCAGATGAGACGATGGAGAGTTTGCCCTCTCCAAGAGGAAGCACCAGTGCTTGGAGAGCATCCAACTGTAGGCTGTATAGCATATATATATATATAAAATATATTACATAACATGTGTGTGTATATATGTATACATATATATTATATGTAATTATGTAATATATTTTATATTTATATGGCCATATGTGATGAAGACTGCAATGTAATGCAGGGTTTCCAGGCAGAGCCTTGTCCTTGCTGTTGGTGCCAGTCTACCTGGAGTGGGCAAGAGGCTTTTTGGACCCCCAAGCAAGCCTGGAGGAGCAGGATGGTCGTGCAGAGACTAAAGGTCTTTTTCTGAGTGCTGAGGGATGGAAGTCTGAGCATGGGTACTGACTCACTGCCCTGTGCTGGCTGCCAGCCCCGAGGCTCTACCAAGACTCTTCTGACTCTTCTCCCTCCAGCAATCACTGAAGCTTTCTGCAATTCTCCTCCTTGCATAAATCATTTGGCCTGTGACTCTTGATGTCCCAGTGTTAAACATAGCTCTAATGATTCTACTGCCTTGTTGGAAAAGCTTTTGTAAGTCTTAGGATAATTGGAGAGGTGATCTATTTTTTCTCTTTTTGGTTCACATCTTGCCGAAGAACATTTTACACATTGGTAGAGCATGGAGAATAGCAGCTTCTTAGGACCTGTAACACTGTAGGTTTTAGTTTTCGGTAGATTCAATCAAATTATTATCCTTGTGACATAAGAAGTGTATTAGATTACAGTAAAATTATTTGAGGGTTGGTATTAATTAGTACTGTAGTACTGTTGCAAACACGGATATTTAGGGCTGAGGCTAACGCACAATTCTGGGCACAGTAGGGGATATATAATTGCAGTTGAAGGTCAGGTCACATATTTGGATTTTCAAAAGAATAAGGCAAGTTTAGCTTCAGCAAAGTGTTTATGGATTTGGAAGGACAGCTATGTTGCTGCTGCAGCTGTATGTTTTGTATTAATTAATATACTAATTTGAGGCTTACAGCTGGAATGCTCTCACTGTCTCCTGCTGTTTTAGATTGCTGTACACGTTTATATTGATTCCAGTGGGATTACTGCTTGTTTTCCCAAGTGGCAATGAGAGGATAATCCAGCTGGTGGAACGGTGAGTTGCACACATGAGTCTGTTAGCAGGCCAGTGCAGTTTACAGAGTTATATATTTGAAATTTAGGCAGGTGCAATCCAGCCAGGAATTGAATGAGTGAAATATGTTAACAGTATGTGAAATATTAGCAGAAAAAGTCTTTTTTCCCTTTTTAGCTCTACACTCCACAGACTGGGTTCAGTCTCTTCAGTGATTAAGCCTCTCTAGGAAAAATGGCAGACTACGTGATTTGCGATGTTAGTACCTGTTCCTCCTTGCTTAAATAGAAAACCTTTTTTTCTGGGGGAAGAAAAAATCACCACATATCCTAAAACATAAACACTACACAAACAAAAACTTGAGCAAGATAAATGATCTTGTTTTGTACCTGTTCTGCTGAAGAAGCATTTACAGGGTGTGAAATAAACCACAGAACTTTTTTATTTAAATAAGGAGTCATTCATTGTGAAATCCTACCACAGTAGACTGAAGGACTCTCCCTTCTTTATTTAACTAGAAACCCTTCTCCTTAGCCTGCAGAAGGACCTAGGAACAGGTCCTAGGAAAACAGTTTGCAGAAAAGGACCCAGCCCTGTATTTGTTTCGCGTACAGAAGTCCCATTGAAACCAAAAGAAGCTCTGAGCAAAGAACATGTTAAATGTTATATCTCAAGTATCTGGAAAACAGGTTTTAAAAGACATCGTCAATAACACTCAAGCTCTGAGCAACCAGTTGCCAAAGGGTTTAAGATGTTCCCATGCCCCATCTGCTTGTCTCAGGCAGCAGTGGCGGGAGGAGCCACGTCCTCGCCTGCCCACGTAGGCCCTGAGCACTGCCCACCCCCTGGGGCTTGGGCTGAAGCACTGGGGCCGTAAGGTGCCCTGGGGGTCGATTTCTCCTGCTGCTGCAATGGCTGCGGTCATTGCACACACACCTTACACTGCCACAGCATTTCCTGTTGTGGCCATGTGCCAGGGCCCAGCTGCGCTGGCCAATGCTCCATGGAAAATCTGGGAAAGGTGAGCGAGCGTTACAGCACACCCCATCCTGATGTGTGGGACTCTCTTCAAAGGACTGAGGTGCTGAGACAGAGAGAAAGAGAGACAAAGAGAGAGAGAGATACCGAAATAATTACCAGGAGCAACCTGGTGCAACCGTAGGCTCAAGGAGCCGCTAAGCAACAGGTTGCTGGAGGGAGTGGGCGAATCAGGGAGGGCTTGGTCGTTCCTCATTGCTTTTGGTGTACGGTCCCCAGGCACCAGTTGCTCACCCTATCAAACACCGGTGTCTGTGCTAGAAGATGTGCAGGCTGACGTGGACTGGTCTTAAGATCAAAGCACAAAGGAGCCCTGGCAGCATGGAGATCAAGGGCCGTGGTGGTTAGTGGCCTCCCGAGAGTGCCATGGTAGGGTGTCATGCAGACAGCAGTGGCAGCACTTGGCAGACCTTCTCATCCTTTCACCACGTCCTGGCTCTTGCACAAATCTTCAGCAATATCCAACGCCATTTTCTTTTGTGGCCTTGCTCTCTAAGAAACACTTTTCCCTTTCCTTTCAGGCACCCAACGGTCTCTCTGCCGTCGGCAGCTTCGTCTCAGCACCGGCCATGCCCCCATACGCTACCCCAGCGCAAGTGTCGCCCTACATGACGTACAGCGCTGCGCCGTCAGGCTACATGGCGAGCCACGGCTGGCAGCACGCCGGCGGCACCGCGCTCTCGCCCCACGGCTGCGACATCCCGGCCTCACTGGCCTTCAAGGGCATGCCGGCGGCCCGCGAGGGCGGCCACTCGCTCACCGCCTCAGCGCTCTGATGCCGCGGCCGGCCCAGGACGGCTGCTGCGTCCTCCTGCCCCAGGCCTGCCTCACGCGCTGCTCCTCTGCATGCTGGTGGCATCTGACACCTCCCTGTGTGACCTCCCTCCTGCAAGACTTGCGGGACGGAAAGGGTTGGAAACAGCACCCGAAACTGGGAGGAATGTGTCATTGCCCTTGCACTGCGTCGGGAAACATCCTGCATCCCTCAAAGGGCTCGTAGAACCTTGTCTGACTCTTTTCTGGTAAAACCACACGTATTTATTCTTAATCATCACAGACTTTTGAAATGTGCAATTAAGATTTGTGTAAAAATCAATAAAGGAAAATCATCACAGACTATTCCACTGTGCCTCAGATCAGCAGAGGTGGCTACATGGAAGCTATTTGCCGATTGCATCTGCCTCTAGAGAATGAAGCTTCTATATATGAGGTTATGCAATCCACTACTCTTAAGAGATTACTTTTGGTCTTTTTTTTTTAAGTTTTTGGTAATCAAATATAGAGCAAAGGCATTATGCAGCTCGCAGATTCTTCTCGCATTTCGTCAACATTACAAAGGCAGTAGTATGTTTGTATTTTTATCCATTTGTAAATATAGGCTTTTGACAGCATTTGTTTTCACCTCCCAGTACATTTCTTATTTCCTTTTTTTTTTTTTCCCTCTGTTGGAAGCTAAAAGCTGACTTTCTAGCAGTTTTCTGTGTTTTTGCATTGTGGGGTGATAATCTCAGATGATGAGGTTTAGGTAGGGATGTTTTCATCATATTTTTGTGCCTATAGTGGAGGGTTCAGCGTCTCATGAAACACAATTATTTCTTCAGCAGAGGAGTCAAAGAAATTCAGCCACGTAACTCTCTTCAGTTATATCCGACCTCCCAGAGGCATGAAACACCACATCCTTGTTAAGTATGCAAACAGAAAAGGTGGTAAAAATCTGAACAATCTGAAAATCTGAACAAAAGTGCAAACCATAGAGAAAAATGCTATTAGTGTGAAATTATGCAGAAAGGCAGAGCAGAACCATGTAAGTTAACAAAACCACTGTGAAACAGAATTGTACTGTCATTGTTGTCTCCATTGTGTTCTGCATTTTCAGCCCCCAAATTATGTTGTAATTCTTTTTTTAAAGAAGAAGTTGTCTTTAAATTTTTGCTTTAATGAGTGTAAAATATGGACTTTGGTAAAGTTTACATTGTTGTTCTGAAGTTTTTTTTTTTTCCCTTATAGATATACTGGTGGTGGTGCTACAAAAACAGACATTATTTAATATTAACAAGTTTCCTTTCTACATTTCTGTATCCAGTGGCAAGTACTCTGTCCCAGCTTTTATTAGAGAGCTAATATTTTGATCTTTGGAATTTTTCCTGTTTTCCTTGGGCAATAATAAAGTTTTGAATATTATTCTAGAATGCTTTCCACATGCTGTAGGTATGTTCATAATATGAACATGGAAAAAAAAGATCTAAGATTGGTGTGACATTTCATATCCTTCTGGAATATTAATATATTGTGTATTTTATAGAACTTTTGCAGTAACTTAAATTGCACCATTAGAGATAATTAAGACACAGGAGAAAAAAATAATTCTTCAAATACTCTTCTATCTGCCTATCATACTAGACATCCATTCGGTGGGAAGGTAAAATATAATCCTCTCTTCCTGCACTTTCTGGCTTTTGTCACTGAGTTAACTGTGAGCAAAGTTTTGTAACGTTATGAATAACCAGTACAAATCTGCATATCATAAGTCCAGTGAAATGTAGATGGAGTCACTTGGCTGTTGCCATCTTTGCTTTTTGCATTAAAAATAGCTAAATTAACAGTAATTCTACAAAGAGAACATTTATTGCATTATGGCCTGAAAGAAATATCTGATCTTGGATCTGCTCATAGATTCCCAGGCCGCAGCATAGCAGAGGAGTTTAGCAGCAGTTTAGCTTTACTGAGATGCTTCAACCATTGCTACTCAACAGAACATCTTTAAAGAACCTGATTGAAACTACCAAATGCTATTGAATATATGTACACACAAGTGAATTTTCACACTACCACACTGCTCGTGATCTTACCTTTACACAGCTGTAGCTGAATAAGACTAGGACTCCCCCAGCCTTAATGCCATGCAGAAAAAATTGGTTCTATTTCAGATGAGTGCTGCTAAAAAATATAATGAAAAAAAAAAGGGAAAAATCATCTATAAATAAAAGAATTTGTTGGCAACTGGATTGTAGCTTTCAGCCTAGCTGTTAGACTGGATTATAGAATTATTGAATAGGTCTACTTATTTTTGGCCACATATAACACAAGCAGCAAAGGAAAGAAAAAGAACAAAGAGAAGCCTCCAAAGCACAGCTCTTTGAGCTTCAAGGATTCATAAGCCTGTAAAAGAGTGTGCCTATGTTAAAAGTCTTCAACTTCTTCCCGAGCAATGAGACCCCACTTCTGGAATAAAAGTCATCTTTTCTGAGATTCCAGAGAACCATCAGTGTGTTTTGGAGGATACTTAGAAAGACAGATGCTCACCTTGTAAGAGTTACTTGAATTATCTTGTCTTCAGCTAAAACAGCATAATTTATAAAGTGTGCAAATAATTACATATAAAATAATGCAATTATTCCTCACCTGGGAATGCATTATTCTGAATCACTTTGTTTTCTGTGTGCTTGTTCAAGTACTGCTCTTCATACGTCTGCCTATTGTAAATAACCCCTTAACCCCTGGCTGGGAGGTCAGCAGGGCTCTGGGCACAAAGTGCTTCTCAGAGGGAGTAGTGAGACTTGACTTTGGCCTTTCCTGAGCTGCCTGTGCTTACCTTTTTGTGAATTTTCATAACCTTTCTTTTTCCTAATGTAAAATCAGTATGCAGAATATTCCTTTGCCCGAGGACTTTTCTTACTGCTTCTACTTATGGGTAAACCAAAAAACAAAATGTGTTAGTTTATTAGCCATATAACTTTAAGTCACTTTAAAATAAACAAAAGAGAAAAGGGGATTTTTTTTTTCTGTAATAAATGGAGGTCAGTATCTGCTGTCTGGCAGAGGTTTAAATTTGGATAGAACCCACATAGGTCACTGGATAAACTCTAGAAATATGCAGCGTACATGAGTGCAGACATTGAATTTTTAATATTAAAACCTACACTCCATTCCTAGAATGCTAAATATTTCCAAAAAAATCAGCAATTGCTGATTGCTGCCTTCTCTACCAGGACCTGTTTTCATGGTCATGGTACAAAGGGCCTCTAGCGTTGCATGTCCCATGTTGCACCAGGAATGACAGTGACGTGGGCTGGAAGAGACAAAAACAGGCATAGTGTTTTTTCTTTCTTTCTTTTTTAAAAACAATGCTGTGCTTTCTGCTTTTTAATGCTTCCCCCCCACCCCTGCCCGTCTTTTTATCAAAAATCAGGCTGAACTATTAACTGCAAAGAAATCTTGTTGGTAAGGATGTAAAGCAGAAGGCTATATATGTATATATAGTATGTTTAAAGCCTTTTATTTTTATATTTTGAATGCTTTAAATTAATAAAAGACTAATTATAAAGTATTTTGCTTTTCATTTTCAAAATGATCTCAGTAGTCACTCCTCTTTGGGTAAGTACTAATAATGAAATGCAACATGAAGGAACATCTGCCTTAAAATTATTAACTATAATATTTTTTGGCTGATTTTAGCAAAGAAGCAGCGTAGGTAGGAGAAGTTGCTGTGGTCAAATTTAGAGAAAAGATGTCTTTATCGTGCATGTCAGCACAAGCATCTTTGAAAGTGCTGAAAATGTAATTCTATTTTTAGGTTTTTGTTGCTATTCTAACGCATTAAAAACACTCGGGAGACCAGACTTCACATGTGAACTGACATTTTGAAGTAATACTCTCTAAAGATACTTCTTCACGATTGCTAGGAGAAAGGTTTGTAGCTGCATAAGAGAAAAAGCATTTAAAGTTAACATTGTGAATACAGCCTGTGTCATGATACAGCAACTTTCAGCAATTGCAAGATAACATATACGTTTGACAACAAACCAGTTTTAGATAAAGTATGGATAATTTAAAGTTTTTTTTTTTCTCGAAAATCAACTGAAGAATGGCACAACTGCATGAGGTGAAACTTGTCCAGTTGGCATATCAGAAATATCTTGTGTCGTATTTCATAGAGCAGGTTAGAACCGCTAATGAGGATAGGACTAAATCACTGAAGTATTATTTATACTTCTAGTGACTGAGAAAGACATCAACTGCTTTGCAGCAGCATTTATTATCTACCTTTCTCTCAGGTGTATGGCTAGCTAATGAAGATTGCATATGTGATATCTGTCAAGAACACTGTTTCTCCACCTTTGCAAAGGGGTGCATGAAAGGCAAAAGGGGCAATCAAATTTTTTTTATAGGACTCAGCTATTTAAGCAATTAAGATGTGAAGGTGAACAGAAATTTCACATTAAGTGTCTACTTACCTAAAATAACTTTTTTTCTGTTCATTTATTTACTCATTTTTGATGTGATTCCCAAAGTCATTCTGCACTTTTACGTAATCTATTTCAAATTCATTATGTTTGGTATCTTCTGTGACCTGAGTAAGATTTATACTCTATGCATGACTGACTATGAATAAGAAGGACATTTATCACCATGATTCTTTTTAAGGATGTGGCTGTTTCTGTATTTTTTTCTGTCCTAACTGCCAACAACTTAAAATGCTGTTCTATCAGTGTTGAAATTGTAAGGCTGGACAAAAGTTTGACACAAGATCCTGGAGAGTGTGGGTCAGGTTCTCAACCTGGACTCAATTGGCACTAGCTTAGCATCTGATCTTCCATTATTCAGCTCTCTTCACAATCATCAGAAAGTCAACTTCCCATTAAGAAAGAAAAAAAAAATAATGTGTTGACTACACAGTATAATCTAGTGTCCAGAATTTCCAGTTTGTCTTTGAAAAACTAACTGGTTCCTATGTTTCTTTTATACTTTTTAACTGATCCAGCAAGACAATAATAAATATCAATTGTATTTATTTACTATATCAATTGTATATCAATTTACTTACACACTTCAAGGAAAACATGTGCTTAAATATTTTCTTGGATCAGGACATTAACACATAATCTTTTCCAAAATGTATTAACATCAATGTGATCTGAGGGCATTCAACATCAGAAAGGATAAGAATCATTTTTCCTTTATTAAAGTGTATTTTTGAATGCATATGACTTTAAGGAGCATGTCTTTCAGAAGGATTTTTTGTGATCAAATGTTTCCTGAAGCCACGTATAAACGTATTCATAAACCAAAAGCATCACCGCACCACCTAGAAAAAAATATATTATTTTATTACATACAATATTCAATACTTTCAAGATTTTGCATAGTGTTTACAGTATTTAATCTAAAATGGAATATGGTAAAGCCTTATTTTCAAACACTTAATTCCACTAATTCATTAAAAATTAATTATTTTTTAAACCATACATATTTTATTTAATATTAGACCATAAGTTAATTAAAAAAGCTTGCAGATAAACCACCGTCAGTGTATTTATGATATTTTTCTTATCATTTTGCAATATTAAATTTGCTTGTTCTTTTACAAACAAAACTTTTCACCTGTGAATATCTGTATATATATGTATGTTTGGTTAAGAGTTAGATTTGGTCATGAAAGAGCAACTTCTCCGATGGAATGAGAAAAATTCATCACCTGGGTGATGAAAATACTTCCAGGTAAGAGTCAAGAAACATTTTCAACTCTTAAGTTAAATGTTGTCATATCTAAATTATAAAGTTGCAGTATTGGAATGAGTATAATCTTGTGACTGTATCTAGCTATGAATCCACAAGGAAAGTTTTGATTCGATGGAATAACATTAGTTTAGCTGCTAGAACAGAAAATGGAATAAAATCCTAGCTGGAATGCAATAAAAGATCTCTGTTCTGTGTGAAACAGAAGAAAAGTCCTTCCACAACTGGGCACAATTGGTTACAGCATGAGCTAAAGAAGGGAGATTTTTGGAAGGTGTCTGTATAACTAAATATAGCAAGAGGCTTCTGGGTGGAGAAAGTGGTAAGACAGTCAGATGCCAGGGTGCAGGCGCAGAAGTGTGGTGTAATAATGTGCCATTTGTGAGTGCTGGCTCTGGGGCACAAATATTTCTCCTCTCCTCTCCTCTCCTCTCCTCTCCTCTCCTCTCCTCTCCTCTCTCCTTCTCCCTCTCCCTCTCCCTTGCCTTTTGGCTCAGGTAGCTGGTCAGAGTGTGGCACCTCTAAAAAACAAGTCTTCTGCTTAACTGGGATGACCTTTCTATGTAGCTGGGATAGGTACAGCTGGCCAGGCATACCATACGAGTTTTCCCTTTAGTTATCCTAATGAGCCATGATCAGGCTTGAAATCCTCTATGAACAGCAACTGGCAGATAGACAGACAGAGCAAGAGTCTGCAAAAGGCTCTGACCAACAAACCAGTCATAGGCACAAAGTCTAGAAGATGCAACCTGAAGTCAAATCAAGGCTGACATCCAGTTTTCATCCTGTGTCATCTGTTTGTGTATTTATCTTCCCTAAAGCAAACACATCTTGGAAGAAGGAGTTACCTTTACAGTCCAAGTAATGATTGCTTTGTTGTTTCATTGGAAAGACAAATCTACATATTAGTCAAAGGGACTACAAAAGTATTTAAAGTCAAGCACATACTTAGCTGATATGTTGGATCTATGCCAGAATGTACAGTGACTTGTTGGAAAGTTTTATTCCAAAATCAGCTCTGCTAACAGGCACTAAGGAAGTGGAGGCCTGCCTTCTGTATGTCCTGTACATGATACAGTACCCTTGAAGTATGGGGAAAAAAGCTCTTCGATTCCAGAGGCATGCTCAGCTACCTTTTATCCTCTCCCCGCCGCCTTCCTTTACTCTGCTCAAAAAACAGGCAGAGCCTTGCACTTAGCCAGAGGGACTGGAAATGCAAACATCTACAGGCGAACCCGATGCCTCCTTTATACCTGCTTGCTTTTAACCATGTGTGTTCTTGCCTATTAAACCATCCTGCACAATGGAAATATAGCTTCATGGGAGTGGGATACTTTTCAAATTGGGGCTCCTGCTCTTTTCAACACAGGCTGCCTCTGTGGGCTGGCAAAATCTAAGGGCTCAGTGCTTTGCTTTCATGATTAATCAAAACCAGTCTGAGAAAAAAAGCCTAGAAGCCTGAGAAGATACAGCTTTCAACCATTCTGTTCCTGCATTTGAAGCAACAGCTATTGAATAGGGGTCAATCAACAAACCTAATTTCAAGCCAAAATTGTTGTCTTTGTCTTCTAGTACCACAGAATTATCTTCTCAGCTCATACTATCAGACTTTTAGGTGTTTTTTACAGTCTGCAAAGGGCACAGAAAGAAGAAACTACCTAGAATTTGATATCCTTGGGCTGCACCTTGACTAGATGAGAACATTTATACTGGAGACACCATAACCTTCACTATAGGGTGACTTTGGTACAGAGCAGCCCTAGAGAAGCCAAAAAAATCACTTTGGAGGGAATAGGGAAGGCTTTAAGAATCACTTTCAAAGACTTACCGTCCTGCGGTTTACGGTTCTGCCATTTGCACACCTTGGCTTGCTCAAGAGTAATTGCACAAACTACAACTTATTTGACTCTACAATCATTCAATGTTTATGTGCAAATTATATTTTTTTCTTTAGATGAACATTTAGCCAAATCCATCCATAATATTATTACTTGATATTATCACCAAGGGAACCATTCAAAGATAAAAGAAATTTTGATGATTTGGGTACAGTGTTACAAGTATCACTATACCTTTCACGAAATTAGAAAACAAGAAGAGAAAGCAAAAATAAAAGCGTTATAGAAATGACAGAAGAAAAATTACCTGGGCCAAGCCTCATGATCTTGGGAACTAAGCCTTTGTACAGAGCCAGAAATCTGTAGCGAAGGAAAACAAACAAAACATTTCAAACAATATTCTTGCTCTAGGAGCAGAATGGAATTTTAGCATGTGTTTATTAAAATGCTGGCAGAGCACTTAGAAGCAATTATTTGAAATTACACATGTTCGATAGCAGGCAGTATCTGGATTTTAACATTTTACAGAGACAGATCAGACAAGGAGAAAAAGTTAATCAATGTTCAGTCACAAAAGCTATGCTGCAAGCCCAGCCAATCAGAAATATGACTTTAATCAGTGAGATGGTTTTACTTTCAAGACAAGTCTGTTAACAATAGCTGTGTGCATGGACAAAATGACTGCCATAATTGAATATCAAAGCTACAATTCAGTCCTCACTTGAGAAATTCTTTATGAAGTTGGAAAAAGTTATTGCCACAAAGACCTGTCCCCAGTATAATTATTTCAGCAATCTCATTAAAGGTACAGACCTTTGCAAAATTACAAGTAGAAATAGGGAATTATCCTGTTTTCTATTGTTACTTTCCTTTTACAGTATGATGAGCTGATTTTAATGTTACCAAAATAGAAAAAAAAAATGTTATGCATGAATTCAAATTTTATTTGTGGAACACAAATTTTGACAACCCAATAATCATCTTGCAAGTCTTTTGTAACAATTCACATGAAGGAGAAAGATGTTTCCTTGTAATTTTAAAATACGTTGCTCTTTTGCACCCATGAATTCAGGGTGGCTTAATGGTCCTCATCAAATCTGAAATATAACAACATGGCTTTATGGACCCATGTGAACTAAAACAGAGGTCTGGACATTTATTAAAATAAGAATGTTTTACCCTTCTTCTTTATAGACTGTTGCCATAGTTTTAAGACAGGTTCTGTACTTGATCTCTCCAGGAACTGGCTGTGGTCCTTGAATTCTACTTTTTGCAACATCAAAAGGAATGTTAATAATTGAGGCTATTGTTCCTGAGACCAACCCAATTCCAAATTTCCTCAAAAACTCCAAATTCGGATCCTGCAAAGAGAGAAAGAAAGAAAGAATAAAATGGGAAACGGAAGGACCTATGCAGGTTAAACACTATAAAGTAATATGCATTTAATCAGAAAACTCACACAACACAACACAGTGATGTTATTCTAGCGGAACACATTAGGATTTCCTACGCTGGAACTTGTTTTCTTGACAATCCTATTGGCTATGTTTTTACACATGGTCTAAATTGCTGAAGTACACATTTCCTCACACAGGATTTATAAACACAGTTCATAAAGAAAGACTGGTATGGCATATGGGGATGATTTGTATAATTGGGCTTCACAATGTACTTAGTATTACTGTATCAAAACAGGAGAAATCCAAGCACACTATTAGCTAATTGGCCAGAATATTTTACAAATGACAGCAACTTCCACCATGAAGCCTACTAAAATGCTCATTTGTGTGTTGGACCCCCAAATGCTAAATTAAATAAAGGCTAATCTCAGTCTGCTGCCATTCCCCTCCAGGTTTTTTACATTTATTTTCACATGTAGCTGATCCACTGTACTAAGAAGTGCTAGCTTCCTGTTATTAACAATCCAGCTTGGTGCAACTGCAAAAGAGCCTTCCCCGTCCTGCGCATTATAAACCTCGGTAACTGACTCCGCTAATTGCCTGAAGAATTTACAACAGATTGTTCCTGCACCCAGCAACATGTTCGTAGCAAAAGTTAGAAGCAGGTTAGAAGTGCATCTAAAAACCTTTTTGCTCATTCATAGTTCACACCCCAACTGAGTTTTATTTGATCTTTTAGAAAGACTTCCTATCTTGGTGATAGCAAAGAATTTAGAATTTTTCCAGGGGTGAGAGTCTCTTAAGGCAAGTCTAATCCTATTTCTATGAATAGTGGAAATCACAGTGAAATCTATCCTGATGCATTTTCTACTAACACAACTTTTTTGCTGTCACTCTTCAGCAGTAATGATGCTTCACTGCTTCATAAAACACTGTGTATATAAATTCCTTTGTTCATGAAGACACTCTACAGAAAATCAGCAGTAAAATAATAGATGATGTTGCCATGTCATAACCTCAGCACGATATTAAAATTAAATTATATTGGAATGCCTTCTTTCTTTTTTAAATTTGTACATTTGTGACTGAAAATAGTAACAATTAAGACATTTTCCTTCCCAGGCTAGCAACAAGGAACATTAGTTAAAACTTCCATCATATTCATTGGATAAAGTCCACACAGATGTTTGGAGAGAAATGTTAAACTCAACAGAGCCTATTATTACTTGCAGAAAAACTCAACACCTTGACTTCACAAAACAGGAAATATACTAAGATAATCCCTTTTAAAAATTAGAATAGTTTGTGATATATCAAGCATTGTACAACTTTTTAGTAGAATGCTTAACAGAAAATTACTGTTCATACTGTATAGAGTGACAGTTACTGAAGTGGACATAAAACGATTTAAAAAAATCTGCTGTGCAGTCATTTTTTTGTGGTATCCAGAAGGAAAAAAAAAAAAAAGTCCCTTTTGAAGTTTGAGAGGCAGTCGGAAGGCAGTCCCTTTCCAGCATGTAACCTCCTTCCAGGCAGCAGGCAGGGGAATAAACCCACACCTGAGAACTAATCACGTTCACAGATTTTGTTAACCTTGTCAAACCAGGCTGCAGCAAAGAGGCCATCACTGCGCTATTAGTTTTCTGTAGTAGACAAAGGTCTGCAATATCTTTGCTACGCTTCGGAGCAAGGATACTTTTTGTACAGCACCAAGCCCGGTGGGCTGCCTGCTGGGCTATGCAGTATTCATCAAGCAAAAATATTTGTATGTTAAGTATCAAATTGCAGGCCCTGCTGCTTTTGACAAATCCCTTATCTTTGAATGACACAACATTTTCATATTTTAGGGCATTTCCAGTGCCAGGGTTGCCTGTTTTGTGATTGCTAGCACTGCAGAGTATATCACTGAGCGGAGTGTTGAATCAAGTGAAAGTCTGTTGAAATATGACACTGCACCAACACAGTTAAGGGAAATTAAAACAAATTGCTTTATTTCTAATCCATTTTTTGTGACACAGAAAATGTTGAAAGACAGCACTTCGCTCATGCGCAAAACTGGATCCTAACAAAATGTACTGTAGTATATGGTAGTTTTGCTATATAGCTTGAGTTTTTATTACTTATTTCAAGAGAAAGGACTCTTATGGCATTCATCCCTGTAATATCTGGGTCATTTAATGCACATAGATTACAAATAAATTTCGTTGTTAAAATTAATTAAAATGTTCTCACGGAGATTAGTGACTTTTTACTCTGACATTGTCTGTAAGCATAAAACAGAGATTTCTAAATACCATGTATGCCTCTGTCTACAAAGCTTATAGGCACAAGCTCACTGGGAGTCTCTCATGTGGGTGCAAGCTGTTATGAAGCAATGTCTGTCTTTTTGCCCTGAAATTCTCTCTTTGGCCCAAGCCAGAATACTCCTAGCTAGGTAAGACCCAGTGAAAGGAGAGATGACGGTACCCTGTTCCTCTAGTGCTGATGGTGTAACTGGCTAGCTGAGGCAGCTACCACCATGTCCTTGTCACCAACTCTGCAGCACAAAGTCCTCTACCTGAACAGAATATGCTCCATATTTAGTATCTTGGAAAAAAGAGTTCTCTGCAAGTTCCTCTTGCTTTCACAACTGGCAGAACTGGAGGAGGGACACACATGAATTCTGCATTCAGGGAAAGGTGTTTTTCTGCAGCGTGAGCAGAACATGAAGCAGAGCAGAAGCAGGATAACAGACGGTGACACTCTGCGGTACGGTACACTACAAGGGAGTGAAATAGCAGTTTGCTTATTCACAATGGAACGATTTTTCTTTGGTTGGACAACAATGCCTGATCCCTTCAACTTTTTAGCACACCCTTCACAGTCACATTTCCTGCACAGCTGAGTCTCTGTCCTGTGAGCACCAGAAGTCATTAAAAATGGCTATTCTGTGCCATTAAAGTCATTTCTATGCACGCCTTGTTGATTTCATTACTTTGGGAGAGAAATGTTGAGATGTTATAGTTTCTCTTTTTATACCTCATATTATAATATTTCTAAATAAGTGAGTACTATAAGTTCTTCTTAAATCATCTGTTGCCTAGTTTCTTCGTAATATTCTTCATTAATTTCTTCTTTCATAATTCCTACCAAAAGCAAATTCTAGCCCTAAATCTGGCACATACATGCTCACATACGGAACTGTCACTGAAGATATTTTTAATTCATCGGTTGTCCAGAAATGGACAATTCACATTGCCAACCTGCATGTAAATAGTAGTCAGAAACCTGAAGAGCAAAGATTCTCTACTTATTTTTCTACTTGTCTACTTATTTTTCCCTCGTCATCTTACTGACACACCCTATTCATCATGAATAGATGTTGCATAATGTGGCTCACAAAAACACATATTTAACTCTGTATTTAAGGAAAAAAATCAATGAAAATCAAAAGATCAATAAATATTTCTTTATCTAACCATAACTGTCTTTAAAGCTTTGCTTCAATTTCCAGATATTTGTCTTGAGATCTTTTCACTTTATTTATTTATTTATTTTTGTAGAGAGAGTTATTGACAGTAGACAGCTTATGAAAAAACATACTTTGTAAACACATTTTAATACTTCCCCTCAGCTTGTATATGTTTGCCATAAAAATAATTCTTATTATGTAAGGAGAATGTCAATTCATGACAATTTGCAGGAATGATAAATAATAAGAACTGAATAATACTTGAAGACTACTACTTGTAAAGTAGCGTACAGGAATTAGCCCCAAGTAAGCCCTTACTTTGAGAAGAATATTTGCATCAAGTTTCTTAGACTCCTTTGAAAAAGTTAGCCATAATATTAGTTTTATAGATGAGTTACATTTGGCACAGAAGGTTAAAGTGATTTGAAATGACTGCTAAATTTAAACGCATTTACTCAAGGTCACTTAAAGGGTGAGAGAAGCCAGGAATAGAACTGAGAGGTTTGCACCATATGTGGCACATTCCATCCCTCTCTGTATAACAAGGAAGGCTTTGGTTTGGTCAACTTTGTGGTTCTGCCTGGTATACCTAGCAATTTTTGGATGGAAGGGGAAAAAGGCATGGAATAAGGAGTAGTGTCACTCCCCAGCCTTTGTGGCTGAATTGAGGTATAATAGCACAGGAATTCCTATGGCAAACTAAGTAGTGCCAGAAAACCTGACCTGGCATTACACATTGACTATAATCAAGTGTTTGGCAGCAAAACAGGCTATTTCAGGAAATGTTTTATCGAGCCTGATAATTGTCTTTAACCACTAAAAGGAGCTTCCTATGGCAATGGACTGTGAAGAAAGGAGCAAGTGGATCTGAAGAAGGGGAACTTGCAAGACAGAGGAGAAAAGATATCTTCATACAGAAGAAAGGTGGGAGATAGCTCAGAGAGGAAACAAGGAAGAGGTGAAAAGCTAGAATAAGTTGCTTTAAACAGACCCAGACCTGGAATCCTGGTCTGGGTTTCCTTAATGAGGACAGCTGGGAAGAAAAGTTGTTGACTTCTGCTCTTTGAGAGGCAGAGACTGTCATAAATATGATCAAGTGATTTGGAGGTCAGTAAGAGCGAAAAAGAAAAGGCGAATGTCTCATCACTGTCATGATAACTTGTGCTTTGATTCTTTGAGAGAACAGTCAATTTTTTTATTGTGACCTAATAATGATTAAATCATAGCTTTATTAACAGTTTTTTACTTTTATCCACTCTAAAGTACATTTCATTCATTTACATAGTAAAATCCTTACTGTAAACTGCAGCTTGCAGTCTGATGAGCACAATTTTGCTCTGACCTTTGTCAAGATAACAGTCATGAGTATACTGATAGCCAGGAAAGACATTACACAATGCATTGTCACAGCTGCACTTCACTTGAACTGAACACTTTTTTTCTCACTGGTATTATCTCAGAATGCTCCTTGAATGCAATTTCATTGCAGCAGATACTTCTTTAAGTATTTTAAATCCACCTGTCAAAAGTCTAACAGCATAATAAGAAGAATGGCAGCTGCTTGGATAAATGTCCTGGAGGATCTCTAGCATAACATCTGCTCCTAAGGGCTATCTGCTCCTGTAGGGTTACATTTTCACATATCTTGCTGTCTTCTCAGTGACTTCTTTTTCCCATAATGCAATTTCTTGTTAACACTTTTCATCGTACTCCAGATTTTCATTAGTATTATTATCCACTTCTTATTCTTTTGTTATACTCTTTTGGAGCCTTAGGGCAAGACTAGGATTCTTCTTCATTAGTGTCAAACAAGCATCTGCACCAAAGAGCTTTTGGAGTTAAGTAGAAAAATAAGAGACAACAAAATTGTAGTCACAGAATACAATAAATACAGAATTCTACAGATTCAGTCAGTATAGTCAGTAACAGACATAGCAGATCTAAACAGTTTCAGATAGAAACTCTTCTGCTAAACAGAAGTAACTGAGGAAGCTGTATGAAAATATTGCAGGAAAGGAGTAGGTGAGATAAAAACAGATTCTCCCTTCTATTTTACACCTTTGGGTGAAATCTTTAAACGCTACAGGCTATAGTTGCAATAGTCCACAGGACACCTCAGATTGGAGAGTGTTGACACCAGTGGGAGATTGTAACATTGCAGTAGATAAGCGTTGCCATCTTTTTGTAGTTCACAAATCATCCTGGATTGCAGCTCTGAGCTTATTCTCTTTCCCACCCTGCTGCACTTTTCTACTACATCATCTCATCATCTTGCTTTATTGCTTCTTTCAACTCTGTTGCACTGCATGTCTCTTGCACTATGTGTTTCTATATATAAATCCTATATTGTTGTGGATCTAAAAACAAAAAATAAAAGCTTGCCTTCTATCATATTTATTTCCCAAGATGAATAGCCAATTTTGGTTTCCCATTCCTTCTTTGCCTGGAAATATTAGGGCCCTTTCTCTGACAATAACAACATGCTGGTCGATTCCCACCACTCAATCAATGTAGCAACCCTGCTAACAGGTGGCACATCTGCAGCAGCTGGGGCTGCGTCTGACTTGAAATGAGTTTTGCAGTTGAGCATGTTTCAAAGGGGGTTTTCAACACAGTATGGAAATCTCATATTGTTGAGGAATATGGCAGCCACTTGGAGGTAGTAGTGAGCAGAGGTTTTAATGAAACCAACTTTTACCATCAAACCTAACCACGATAAAAAGTAGAAAAGTGAGAGCTGCTGGAAGCCTATGAAATGTGCTATAAAAGCGTGTGCTATAAAACTGAGACGATATACATTTTCAGACTAATTTGATTGCTCGTGCAGATGCATAGCTGTTAATGCTCCATGGTTGATACATTAGTGGCAATTGAAAAGAGCCCGGCTTACTCTGTTTTCAGTAAACAGAGCATGATGTTGGCTGTTAATGTTCTCTTTATCAGAACAGACTGAACATATGAAAAATTATTCATTAAGAACATTTACAACCCACACGTCATTTATATCATTTGACCACTCAACATAAAAGGTTTATTGTTTTTGGCAAAATAAGCTGCAAACATCCTTAATTGGGATGCAAATTTAATGCACAGTTTAGCACTGTTGACAGCTCTAAGGCTCGTATGGACATTTCCATACATTTTTCCACTTACGCTACAGATGGTGAACAGCAGATATATAATCAAGAGCCAAAATAATTTCAGAAGTGTAGTATTCTTATTTCACAATTTTTATATGCTTGTCAATATTGCAAGACTGACTTTAAATTTTTCTTCTCTGGAGAAGTATACAAAATGAACAAATTAGCTTTCTTAATGAAACCAAATATGTGACAAAACTTGGAAAGTTACAGTTATGTCTAACTGAAAAATAGCTTCAATCAAAATCATGGTACAGGCTTGATAACTCTTAGACTCTTAACACTTGCCCACTGACAAAAAAGATTTAAGTCACAGATCACAAAGTATTATTGAGTACTTCTATTTTCCGGTCACTGAAGTTCAGCACATGTAAATATCTGAGACATACTGCTGGTAAGTACAGAACACATGAGGTCTGGTCTGTACCCTACTGAACTCACGGCAAGATTGGCTATATCTCTACAGGCAGAACTATCTGCAGGACTGAAGCTAGATCGCGTACATTGTCCTGGGCCCTTGCTATTAAATGCTATAACCATGCAAAACAGAGAGGCTACGTGAAATCTGCCAACCAGGAACGATTCCTTATCTGCGCTATCTCCTAAGCCATATCTAGGAGCTGTGTGCGAGCTGGCCTGGGCCAAGCTGTGCTGCCAGGGAACACGTAACAGCACAGTTGACTACGTTTCCGTGATGTTCAGTTTGCTAGCATAGGTGTAGCCACTGCAGTCCAGCACAGTGCAAACCTCCTCACTTATTGCAGCTAATGCAGACCAATCCTACTTGACTACACTGTCCTTGGCTTTGATAGGAAGTGCTTGGTGGCCAGCCAGCCTGAATGACACCGCTGAAGTGATTTCCCTTTCATTTTCTATATGTATCTAAAAATAATAAAATGCTCATTTCTCTCAGATCATAGAGCTCTGAATCTTCCTAATCACACAAAATCTCTTTTTTCTTTTTTTTCTTTCTTTCTTTTTTTTTTTTTTTTTTTGCTATCCAAAAGGCTAAAAAAGCATTCTTCTGCCAGATATTAATGCTATGTTTTGATTAATATACAGGCATACTTTGGGATTTCTTTCGAAGATGCATGAATGCTCTTTGTGCATGCATATGCTTACCTACATATGATTCTGAACTTTCTGGGTAATTATAAATATATTTTTCATCTTTCGATCAACATAAATGTGTTTACTTCTTAGTATTAAGCACTGCTCGTGTCTGGAGTTTTCAGAATGTGTGATTAAAGTATATCATGAAAATATGCTTAAATACACTAGAATAAACTTGTAGAAACTTGCAGGTTAGTTGCACTTGAACAATTCAATTTATTGTAACAATCTGCAAATAAGAAGTGGAGATTTTCTTCATTTATACAACGTTGCCAACAAAAATACCACACTACTTAGAACTGCAGAGAAAAAAAAAGGTGTTGCTGCATCTGGGAATAGAAAGTGATCCCTTTTGATGTAAACTGCAGCTTCTTATATGGATATAACTATACATTACACCTGTGAATGTTTAACTGTCATCATTTAAAAATCACATTAGTGAAAACACAGTTCAGTAAGTAACGTACTGCAGTCATTACTAAACGATTAGGCTGTTGCTCACACAATCATTTAGAAAGTTGCCAATATTATCATGTTTTCATTAGTAAAATTTCCTTTTGCTATATAGAGGAATGTGAGTCTATCTGAATATAATTGTTTCATGTGGCATTACAGCTATAAAGATTCTTTCTTTCAACTTACTCCTAAGCATACTACATAAGGTCCTGCATCTGGCCTGCTCCCTATGGGTAAATCCATCATGTCATCCTTAAATACTAGCTGGATCTCCCTTTTGAGTAAATAGGCCCAGGACATGGCCAGAATACCCAATCTCCTGCAAGTCTGCTATCTCATCAGACTACTGTCTTACTTTGTGAGTAGTGAAAGATGTTCAAAAAAACACTATTTTTTTGCTCTTCTGAGACAGCTTACCATAGAAAAAAAATACACACATAACTAGTATAAGTGTTGACATACCTGCACCATGATTATTGACTTTTATAATGCTACAGTGCATATTCATATAAATGAGAATTCAAATATGACTTCTTTATTTATAGCCAGCTTTGATTAAAAAGGAGGTATTACGAATCCTTGTATTGCTACACAAATCTTACCAATAAAATGTTATACACATACAAAACAGAAAGCTAGGTCAGTCACTGTTTTTTACTAAAAAACACAACTTTGCACAGGAAGATACATGGTTGAATTAATTAAGTTGGCAAATCTCTCATCTTTTTGTTATACAATAGGAAGAACTTACTTTATTGACTGGAAGAATATTTTTCACATTGAAGTAGAATCCAAAGTAAACCATATTAAAAACTCCATGGCGACCCAGTGTTGCAGTGAGACCTTTGTTGAGTCCCTGGAACCCCAGACCATCAGTTTTAATAATCTGCCGAGCTTGAACAAAGCTGGATGGTTGCTGCACATGTTCAACAAAATAATAAGAAGAAAAGAAAATACAAAAGGAAAACAGAAACCATAGCCTGTTGACTATCACCATGTTGCCAATTCTTGTCATTTTAACTTTAGTCTCACAATATTTGTTATTTTCCCTAAAAATTCCAGGTGGGTTCCTGTGACATGTATGAATCACAATTTTTATTATAAAAAGATTATTTTTCTGATTGCAGAAGAAAGTTGAAAGCATGATATAAAAGTACTCTAAGAGATAATGAGTCTCTAAAGAATAAGATTTAAACTCATTATTTAAAAATTTTAGTTAGATTTTATAAAACAACTTGTGACCTTAAATGTATGAATCTGGCAATATTGTCTTCATTATTTATTATGCTGTTAATAAGAAACATTTACACAATTATAGACCATTTAAGCTGCACAATAAGACAATAAAAACAGTTTCTATATTAGAACCAATGACACTGAAATGTGTATTGTGGAGAAGGAATGGAAGAACCAAACTGGAATAGGAAAATTTTGAGCCATTAGGGCAGTCCTTGTGGGACAAAACTTGGAGCAGCCAGGGAGGCCATACATGTTTCTTTTGAAGATATGTTTGTCCAAGGCAGTTTCCAGATTCAATGTTAGAAAATTACATATAGTTTCTAGGAATCCACATGGCTCCTGTGAGTCTTCAGTGACACCTGGTATGCCTTCTGATGCGACCCCTCTAACATTTTAGAACTCTTTTTATCAGAATTATAGAAAAAATCCTTTTGAAAAGTTTGTTGGCTTGAATTTGATTTTCTCCAAAGCATAAAACCAGCTATGGGCAACCAAATATTTAATTAGAAAGGCAAAACATGACTTTCTCTAGGATGTTCAAACATGAAAATAGAGAATAATTTTGACTACAACACAGTGAATACTGCTAATTTCAATACACTTATTTGTTTAATGAGTTTCCATTTCAAAATATCACTGTGGAGATCAACAGTATCAGCCAAATGATCCCTATTATATCTGACACAGCATATGGCTGCTTATTTAGGTGACTGACAAGTTTACTCTTTAATACAAGTTTTTTTTTTTTTTTTTTCGTATATAGTAACTAGTATGGACCTGTTCATGCTCTGCATATATTTTACTATAATTTAATTTTGTAAAGTACTCCCAGGGATTCAAAGTTGCTTAGTGAGATGAAAATCTATTCAAAAATGTAGACATCCAACATGAAATTTGGTCCTGTTGCTAGGAATAATATCCTTTCTCATGAAATGAAATCTTCTAAAAGAAGATTAGATACATCAAGAAAAACTAATGGTCGCAAATAAAGTGATTGAAACTGCACATGGAAACTTTCAAGAAGAAGGTAGGCATCAGTCTTATCCTGAACACAAAATTACTAACTACTGAGAAGTCCAAGCCTGACAGTTGCTGAATGGCTGAGATGGGATTCACCAGTTGAAATGCAGATGTCTGCAGTGTCTACCTCTGCTCCTGACCTACTCATCAAGACTCCTTTTCATTCACCAAAATAGAGACATCCTAGAAAATTCACCTCATCCAAAGTAGGCATGTAAAATGTTGTTTGATCCTGCCCTATAAAGCTTACTTTTCTGCACTGATGATGGACAAACGTTAGGATGACTAACTCTGATAGAAGAATTTATTGTGTAAACATATGAAGAGGAATTCACTTTGCCAGCTATTGCCTTATACTCAGGAGAGGCCTAGTCAGTGGAATGTGAAGTCAGGTTCCTCTCACCCTCACACATGTGGAGACACATGTATTTATTTAGTTAATCACACCTCTAACGTTAGGTGAGACGATTTTTATCATTGCAGGTCTATCTGTAGCCAGTGAGCTTTCTCTAGGGGGTGAAGTTGGCTAGGTTGTGAAATATGAAAGGAAGAAAAAGAGAAACAAACAACAGGGTGGTGGGGCTGCTAGGGGTTTCTTTTAATAAAAAAAATCACTGCAGTATTTTCACTCAGAGTGATCCACATTACAAACGTGCCGATATGTGATTTATAGTGGGCTTCCTCTTTAAAATTATCAACCCTAGAAAGATGATCTGGTACCACAGAACAATTCCACTGTCACCAGGGTGTCTGTGTGTTTGTTTTGGGGGTGTGCTGGAGTCTGGGTGTGGGTGTATGTGCTCATGCTCTTCCTTGTTCCTTTAAACAAGATATATTTATTATTTCAATACAACAGTCAAAGAAATATGTGAATTGCATTAGGTTTCATCATATAGTGTGAAAGCTACACAACAGGTAAGTACATACTTCACTTAACCTTTTAGAAAAACAATGCATGGTAGTGAAGTGAGTGCACCATTGCTTTGCACTGTATAATAATGTGCTTCTCCCAGTAGGCTTATGTTTACAGAGGATAGAATGCTTTAAATAAAACTAGGGACCAGGTTATATACAAGAAAAGAAGAATCACTCCTGGTGCATGAAGGCTTGATAGGCCTGTCTTTATGCTTAAAGGTCCAGTCTGTATGTGGCTGTGAGGTGACCACTGAAGGAAGGTGCACTTTGGGCACAGAGTATCTCAGTGGAGATGCTGACACAGCTCGCAGAACAGTATGGCCACATATCTCCTCTGAAAATGTTGTCTACTGCATTTTTTTCTCTTTCTCTATCCCTGTTAAGCTTGTGGGAAAATCATCTGAGCCATATAGCCCATTAAAATACAGAAATGTTGGTCTAAAAATGAAATCAGAAGTGTCTTAGAGCTAATCAAGCAAAACAGAAGAAGGAAGCAGTTCTCATACCTCTGTGAAGGCACTTCGATTTGCCTGTAAGCTAACCTTTACTACTTCAAAAGGGTTAACCACAACTGCTTCTGTTAATCCAGATCCCAAGCCAGCAACTGCAAATGCCTAGAAAAGTTAAATCAATCAACATTGAAAAGGTAAGTTTTCATGAGCACTTGTAGTAAAATGCTCCATACATCATATTATGAAACTAAATGATACAATGAAACCAGAGAGATTACAGTAGTGCAGCAGTATTCTATTACTAAACAGCTTTAGGCCTTGCTTAGATGCTGACAGTTCATAAAGAAGAAATTACAATAGCCAAAAACCACATGCCAAAATTTTAAAATGAAATGTCATAGTGCTATCAAAAATACTTTTTTTTCATCTAGAAGGCAAACTGGGACTGATTTAGGATGAAACACGGCAAAAACACTCTCACATTATCTTTGGGTAGAGTCTGAATAGATAGCTTAAAATATAATAGCTTAAAAATGCAAAAAAGAACTGAGGGTTAAATATACACTACTAACATATAACTTATAAAAAATAAGAGAAATGTAAGAAATTTTCAAATTGCAATGTATGCCAGTAAAATGCACAACTCGAATAAAAGTCCCTCTAAGAAAATACCAATCCTGAAAAGATGTATATGGTAATGAGTGGTGTACATGGAAACACCATCATTCTCTGCTAGGATGAATTAACTCTGCCCAGAAACTGATGGCATATTACAACAAATGATTTAACTCTATTTACTTAAAAACTGATGGCACTTTACAGCAAGAGGAATGGAGAAACTCACTGCACATTTCTATGTCAGGTATCTTAATAATAATTCACTACTTTGGTATAACATTTAACATGGATAGTCACAGTCACAGACAAATGTTATGTCACTACAGTAAAATATTATTAAGATATCTGACATAGAAATTAATGTAAATATCATTTAGTTACAAAATGATCTTATCGGTGTTTTCAGGAACAAGTCTGTTCTGCAAAATCGTGATTTGGTTGAACTGATCCATTTAGCTTTAGCTTCTTTGACAGAGGGAAGAAATGGAAAGGATCATATTAAATTAGAACAAGAAGTTTAGGATGTGTACTTACCAGCCCTGGTGGTAATGATGCATATCCTAGTAGTTTTTTGTATTGTTCAAAGGTGAAAAACTGTAAATAAAAGTTACACTTTAATTATATGGAAAAAATATTGTGAGTTAATCATGCAGATTAGTAACAACAAAGCACAATGCAGTTTTGTTACCTTGTATCCTGTGTAGCCATGTGCAGTTGTGCAAAGTAAGCATGAGCCACTTCTATTTCATGTGCTCTGTAGCAGTGTTAGATGTGGATTAACATAGAATTAGGTTCAGAATGGATTTTATTAGTACATCATGCATGATACAAGCACAAAAGGAGTTACAATATTGTTTTATGTAAGAGTTCATTTACAATACATAGTTTATATTTTTGATTTGTTAAAGTATTATTCATTAATTTATTAAGTATTTTAAGTTTTTTTGAAAGAGGACTGAAGAAGGTTAAACACTTGTTTAGTTTAGCAAAAGACGAGCTACAAGGGGACAAAAACCCAAGAAAGGTAAAGGATATGTAATGTGAAATTAATGGGTATAGACTACTTATAAACAAAAGGCAGCTGGAAATCTTAAGAAGCTTTCTTAAAGCCAAAGGAATTGAGTTATGAAGTAGCCTTCCAACAACCATCATTTAATGGGTGGAAAATTGTAATCACTTGTATAGTAGAATTTGATCAGTTTATGAAGTGATCAATTGATTAAGTTTTTTTTTATATAAGATATTAAAGAACTGGACTTGCTGACCTACGAGAACTTTCCCACCCTAGCATTTCTCATATAGCAAGTCTCCCCCAAGTCTCATGTTATTCATATTCTACAAATGTGTTGCTGAAGCCACTGAAAAAGCATTTCATTTTGCTGCCACATGAGACTATTATGAGAGAAGTGAAGAAGGACTTCTAGCATGAGGAATGAGGATAGAAGAAAACCTTGTGGGTAATAAAGAAATGATAGGTATCTGTATTCCAGATAAAATCAAGGATATTGAAAATACTAATTATTCCATGTAATCTAATTTGAACCAAGCTGATTCAAACATGGGTGGTGTCCTCTGAAAAGCTGTGCTTTTGGCTTCCACACATGAGTTTCCTTATATATAACACCTGCATGTGCTAATGAAACTATCCCGCCACGACAATGGAGGCAGTAGCAACTGATGGCAATAGAGATGTAGGAATATTAAGAAGCATCAAGGAATAGAATTCAATTTTATGTTTTAATCAAGATAAATGCAGGAGAGAAACAGAGGTTAATGACTTAATAGCAACACCACATTTAGAGTAGGAGGAAATGTGTATTAAATTTCCATAATGCAAAATTAATATGTGAAATTCTGAAATCTGAAGGCCTATGGTCAGTGGATATATATTAATATATTGCCAATACAAACTATCCCATTCTGCATATAAAACCCTAGAAGTTGGGGCCTGTATTTTAACTCTCCTTCAAATAGTATACTGAATGAATGGCAGTCTTGTAAACATGCTGCAAATAAGTTTAAAATTACTGTAATAGCCTGTCAACAACGAAAAAAGATAGCATGTTACTTAAGTTGTGGGTCTGCCTCCATATGTAACTGAAATAATCATGAAATATCCCCCTTCTTATGCAGTGTGTCATAATTTCCAGTGTCAATTTTACTTATAAAAGGTAAAGGAAATATCTGGGAAATTGTCAACTGTAGGAGAGTGAGTTACTCCACTGAACTAAATCGACTTCTTATCGTAATAAAGTTTGCTTTATTCTCTCTCCAACATCTTTCTACTCATTGTTACCCTCCTAACCTTTGATGGAATTTCTGGTATTCCTTAATGTTTTCCATAGTCTCACATATCTGTAAAATGGTTGTAATAAAGGCAGAAATACATTACTTAACATTTTTTTGGTCTTAAAAACTTTACTTTAAAAATCAATAGCTTCCTACAATCATAAATAAAATAACTACTTAATAGTAACCGTGCTTCACGTTATCCCTTTTTTTTAAAGAAAACAGATCAACAGCAATAAAACTCCATAGATATTTTGCTGGGGTGTACTAGTGTGACTAGTATACATACAACTGTGCCAGAAGTACCTAGTGATATAGAGATTTGTACTATGTACGTCCCTTCAAAGTGTTTTTAAAAACATGGAGTAATTTGTCTTTTCCTCTATTGTTCTATTATGTTAATAGCTTTGCTCAGAAGAATATCAGGATAAATGTATTTAAAACATGTTTTTGTGTATATATTAACCAATATTATCCATCTGGCAAAGATACACTTTAATTCAATACACAGAAAATAGTCAAAGTATTTACCAGATGTCTCAATAACTCTAAGGTAAAAAATATATGCTTGAAACAAGATGTTTGAGAACACATGCACAATATAAATTTGACCCAAAAGTTCATCTGTTAACCATTGTATCGGCATCCTCACTTCTTTCCTCTAAGTTCAATCTAACATAGAGTTATAAACTTTGACTTTTCATCTTCCAGAAATACCAGCTTTCTTTTTAGAAGGGAAATAAAGACTGAGAAAAAAAGACCTAGCAAGTATGACGTGAGAACCTAGTTGCCTAAAAGTGAACTTCCATCTTTGACACTCAGCATTGAAGCTGAATAGTTTCAGATAAATAAGTTCTTTTTAGAAGCTTTATTCTTATAGGCAAATAATTATGCCAGGCAAATACAATATTTCTGTAAGACTATATTTTATCTCAGTACAGACTCCTCCTTGTACACTGGGCTATCAAAATTTTTGAAAAGATTAAATTACAATGTCTTTTATACATCATAAAAATGTTTATTTTCTTTACAAGTGAAAACCAAGGCTTCTGGACCCCACGAATTACATTTTGGGCTGATAAGCAGCTAAAGGTTAAGTTTTTTTCTACTTATCTCAAAACCACAGGCATGGTCACAGCCCTCCATGACTCTGATTCCTAGTTTAGTTTGAAAGTGAACAAGGGACATCTTGTGGCCTGTTAGAATCAGGGAGACTATTAGAAGAAAAAAAGGAGGAAGGTGAGCCAACGGATGCCATGGTTTTTCATGGGTGTTTCACACTGATATATGAGTAAGGTGAGAAAGCAGTGGAGGTCTCAGCCAAGCTGGAGTCTCTGCAGGATAAGGCATGGATTCAAATTCTGATTGGGATGTTAGAAATTGTGCTGGCAGATGACACCTTGCATGAAAAAGTTTCAGTATCCAGGATCTCATATGCACATTCCTGTCCCTGAATTGTTCCAATGTAGAATATAAATGATATCTCAAGGTAGTTTAAAGTCTCACTGTTATCCTTGGAATAGTGTAAAGTTCAAGGCATAAAGAATTAAAGGAATTAGTGATTCAATTAAAAAGCATGTTTGGCATTTAAAGTTAAACTTCCTTTTCACTTGATTATGGCTGCAAACCCAATATTGAGCTCTGATGCTTAAATGTCCAATATCAGGTAAAAAGCATCTAACTAAGGGAGAGACATTAACATATTCAAGGGGCCAGGAGCTTCTGACATCAAACAAGAAGCTAAGAGAAGGGAGCTGGTCTAGCACAGATATGAGAAGGCAAAGGAGGACCTAATTCCTTTACTCTTTAAAGAAGGCTTATAGTCAGACTCCTCTCAGAGGTGCACAGCGAAAGCCCAAGAGGCAAAAGTCACAAGTTGAAAAAGGGAAAACTTGGATTGGAAGGAAAATTTCTTCAAAATGAGAGCAATTAAGCACTGAAGGAAGGGCCCAGGGAGGCTGTAGCGTCTCCATTCTTGAAGATTTTTAGAATTTGACAAGACAAGGCACCCAAGCAACATCATCTAAGGAGCTATCTCTGCCCTCCCCTGTAGCATGCTCACCAGATGACCTTGAGAGGTTCCTCCCAATTTAAATAATCTCTTGATGATGCTATATTATATTAAATAGTGTCGCATTGGAGCCAATTTTGAGTAAGAGAAAGTGACTCAGGACTTTTGAATAACTCAGGTTACCAGGACAGACATGAAGCCTGGGTCATATTTTAGGTAAATACATACTCGTATTGAAAATACATAATTTGATTGATTTTGTCCTCTTTCAAAAGAAATTATGTGTAGAAACAGAGAATGCATCACAGAAACAAGTTAGTAGCAAGCTTTTAAATACAGTCCAACTGTTCTTCACTGCAGCTTTGGTATTAGACAGAGCTTCACTTTTTTAGTTATATTAAATATATATTTTTTGACATAAGTAACATATGTCATTTGCACCCAAAAGTGATAATGCAAACAAAAAGATGACATTATCAGGGCTCCTTTAGAATATATTACAAGGTTACATCCTGTCACTTTGTACAAATACTATCCCTTGTACTGGGAAATACAAGGAGTTGGAAATTGAATTGTTAGAAAATTGGAATTGGAAAGTGAATGTTTTACTACAGGCTACAGACAAGAATCATATGCAGCCTTTTTACAAAGAAAAAAAAAGAAAGAAAAGGAAAATCAAGACATCAGCTTTGTTACCTTAACAGCTTTTAGATAGTATAACTCCACAGTTCTGAGATAAAAGATGAAGATGTTTTTGATGCTTATAGCACAAGGATGCTCTGACAGATTTTGAATTTCAAGTTAAGGCTCTTAATTACTAGGTTATGATCTTAAAAAGTTGCATAGCACAACTGAAAAAACCTAGAAATAATATTGTATCTTGATGTATATTGCTTAGAATTGCTACTAAAGTAATGCTCTACAAATCAACACAGAGAACTGAAAAATAAGAAAACCAGAGCAATACCTGAATGACAATGAATGGAAATGCTGTAATAGGCTATCATCCATTTCAAGAGCAAGCAAGCTGGAATGTATAAAATGTTCTTTCCATGACAAAAAAATTGTAGCCATTATATATTCAATTTTAATAAAAATGCTTTTTGGAATACACAAAAACTCTGTCAGCATTTAAAAACTATAAATATATTACTCCAAGTTACTGAATAAATATTGAGTAGGAATGACCTCCTTAATGAATTTGTTCATTTATTAAGCTATTCTTAATACTAGTTCTTTTGCAAAATGCTAAGTATTTACAATAAAACAAAATATCAAAAAGGAGGTAATTATGAGGCTAAATTATGACCTAGCATTTTATTAACTACTGATTATATAAACCAATTGCAATTTGTTTTTCAGTACCATGATATATATATATATATATAGATAGATCCAGAATAGCCTAGAATTTAAGAACATCATTCTTCCCTTCTTAATCAAGCATGGTTTTTATTGTGCCGTCAACAAGAAACTTTTCTCCTAGCAAAAAACAGAAGATTACGCTAAATGAGTCTAAAATTCTGATGTCAATCAGTGGGATAGAAATAAATCTTTTACAGCTGCCATTGGCCCTAATCTTTTTTAAAGGAGCTTTTTTTTTTTTTTTTTTTTTACCTTCACTGCTCTTTTGGGTGTCTCAGCCAAGATAGGAGGGAATATTCCCTTGTAGAATCCAAACAACCTATTAAAGAAACAAATAAAAATATTTTATTTGTATAGATAAACAAAGGAGCATGACCAAACTGGCAATTCTGTTTTCATTTTTGAATAAAGCAAACAATCTTTCAGCATTTTCAAGCATGTAGATGAAACCTTCTAGTTCACAGTGTCACTCTCATTGCTTACTTGTTAGGCAAGAGCTAGGTAAGTAATTCTATTATGTTCTGGTAAGATGACAATCAAAAATCAGCAATGAATAAGGAAAAAGTCCATCTTTTTTATCCCTAATAGACATAAAATTGTATAAAGATGAAGAACAGTTCTGGAATAGAATGAAAGGCAATGAAAGGGAAGCATTATTTCATTGCATTCACTTACTTGCCGTAGTAATGATGATATGATGATATTAAAAAGTGAGATCTCAAAATACAGACTTGAGGAAAAAAAAGGAACTTAATGCAACTTAAAGTTGCATTAAAAAACCTACATGCTCCTCTTCAGAGGTTAAGGTGCCTTTTAAATTCTGCTTTTAAATGTACATTCAACTATATGAAGTAATCTTTATTTGACAAGCACAAGTTAGCTATTCACAAAGATGTAACAGAACACACATATTTCACCTTGGAAAAAAACACCGAGGCAATATCTTGTTACAGTAATTACACAGGTCTTTGCCCTTGTCTTGGTGCCTGGCCCCACTAAGGGGCCTAGCTAAGAAGTTTACAATAGCTGCTGTCTTTGGGAGTTAGGACAGGAGCCAAAACCCAACTCCTTGCAGCGTTTGGAATCGCATCATCTAGATTTTATACACCTGCCTTCCCAGAGAGGAGCCCAGAGCAGCAACTCTATCAAACACACAGAGCAGAGAGGCTTCAGGATCAAGGCAGAGGTCAGCTGGCAGAAAACACATCAGAGCGCACTTGCAACCTTCTCTATGGTTATCCATGGGATACTCCAAAAAGGAAAATGTGAGGCATCACCTCTGTGCTCTACAGCACATGTAAGAGCACATACACAGCACATACTTTCCAATACAGGAAAGAAGGCCAGAGCATCTGTGCCGTACTCATAACATCTGCCATCCCGACAACATCACATCGCTAATGTGCATCAGGGTAGATGCTTCATGACAAACACAACAGTACATCCGTATCACCTGCCACAAGGATACATGGGATTTGCAGATAGCCTCAACAAGGCCTGGGAGGAGGCAAGGAGTTGGGTCTTGAGGATGCTTTAAGTATCAGGCAGTTCTCAAGACCACCAAGTCAGATAAGAGCCAACACATCTCCTCTGTGCTTGGCCTCCATGATACCTAGTGCACAGGGAGAAGTCAGAGGGACATCTATACAATCATAAAGGCAAGGTTGTATCTCACAACATATCTTCAGAACACTTCTTTTACGACTGCAAGAAGACAATTACAGAAAATCACTTTCAGAAGCAAAGCACTTGTATTTTGTCTTTAAAATGCTGGAAGATGGTGTTGCACCTTTATAAAATGGCATACTGCTTAGAATACTTCTGTAAGATGTAGAAAAGTCATCAACAGAGTCTTTTATGGTTATCATGAAAAGAACAAAACAACAAAGGAAAGCAATTAAATTCGCAATCTCCCCACTGTAAAATACTACAACTGTTACACCATCTTTCCCTCCCTGCTTCTGATGCCTCTTCAAAGCCCTCCACTCTTATATAATAAAAATAATACGGACTTTCTAAGATGTTCCAGAGTGGGTATATTGCTTATGCTTCCTCTGGAGTGGGTGAGCTATGGTTCTAGTCCATCACATAGGGGAACTTTAGGCATTTTATACAAGGATGGTGTCATGTTGAAATACTCAAAAAACCTTATTGCAAGCAATTTCAGGAATTTGGGAGTGAGATGCTTAAATTTCCCCTAAATCTCACTTCAGGAATTTAAAGATATATACATAGATAGATAGATAGATAGATAGACAGGATGCAGACAGACAGATCGAGTTATATATATTCGATTCAAACTTAATCTTTAAAGGTTTACGCATATTCAGAGTATATTCTTGGTGATTCATCAAACTATTGAAATGGTAAATAACTTTAAGCATGTAATTCACTCAGTTTAACCTGTGTTTAAGCTCAAATTGAGGCTCAAGTAGGGTAAGCTACAGGAACACAGAACCCCATAAACACATTCTTCTTTTCAGTTCATTCTAAAATATTACAAGCTTATCTATAACAGGAATCCTGTTTAGGATTTCTACTGCTCCAGCATAATTGGATTTGGAAGATGGAAAGTGCTCCGCTGCTCACAGGTGTAGCTCTAGTCGCAGAAAAGCGAGACCTAATGTTGGTCCAGGTTTTCACATTATTAAGAGATGCATAAAGGGCAGCTTTATGTATATCCAAATGTATACAGCTACTGATTATATAAGTCCTGTAGCATTCCCACGTTCTCTGAGGTTCTCAGGGAAAACTGTATGGTGAAAATGTGAAGGGGAAAAAGCATATCAGGAATTCAAAAGACAGATCTACCAACTCAGCAAGCTTGGGAGGCAGACAATTGCTCCTGGAAAAGAACCCACCATTATATCACTTTGGTGTTGAAATGACAGCAAAACAGGCCAGAAGCAGGCCTGTATTGCTGGCATTTTGGGTTCTTTGAAAATCTTGGAGAAATTTGAACTAAAAATATGAAACGATTATCCACTGCTCCTGTATCACTGTGCATGCCATGTCAAGTTCATCTGCTCACTGTAGCTATAGGGCTGACACTGAAGATTTTCCACTGGAGGAACTACTGTGAACCAGAAGAATCTGCAGAGCTCACCAACTTTATTCATGGCACTACGAATCCCTAAAATTTTAAGTGATTGATAACTCATAACTTGCTTTTGTGGGGGCAAATCTCATCATGAAATGCCTACAGGAAGGGGTTAAGATCTATTCCTACAGAAGAGTAGGTTTAGAAATAAAAAAAGAACCCTTTGAGTATATACATATATACATATATATACCCAATATGTGCAATATATAATTCAGTAAGGAGGAGGAACTAGCTCAATATTTAATATGAAATGTGGTTTTGATTTTTTTTCCTCTCCCATTTGAAACAGAAATTAAACAGTATAACCAGTAGGATGAAAGAAATAAGAAAAAGGAGGACCTAGAAAACAATCCCATCTCATCATCAGTACAGTTATAATCAACTGGCTAATTTTTTGCATAAAGCATAGTCTCAGAAACTTGTGTCTGAAATTGAGGTCAAACAGCTGCCTTAATTTTTTCTAAACAATGTTTATACATGTTTATATAATCTTGCCCATTCAAGCTATAATTATTTGGAATCTTTGCAGAACGAGCTATTTATTTATTAAAAAAATAGTTAACATGATAATAACAAAAGTATGAATGGCTCCTTTGTCAGTCATACACAAAGATTACATCCTTTCTTCTGTTTTTCCCTTGGTCACTGTGTGTATGCTAACACTGTGTTAGCATACTTGAATATGTCACGTAAATCTTTTCGGAGCCAAATAATGAGTGGCAATGACATCTCACATTTGAAAGATATTTTATATACATATATATATATACACACACACACACACACATATATATACAAAATCACCTGGATTCAGGCCTTTATCAAAAATTTCAGCAAATTTAGGGAACAGCAGCAGCAATCACTGTGATAATCACATGTGATAAGAGCAGAGAGAGAATGTGATATCATATCCCTATCTAGACATATTGGAAAGAATTAACAGGTAAATCTCAACAGAAACAGAACTTCATTTTATTTTGTTTCAGCATTAAAAGTCTAAATGAACACCACCATCCAATTGTATTCTGGGCAACAGCCCAAACTCATCTTTGGAATAGTTGATTTTGAAACTTTGCAGTCAATCATATCATCTCAATTTGTTCTTCTTTCAGGCTTTTGCTGTCCTTCTGGTTTCCATTTCTTGTTTGGAAGCCTTGAGTCATTCACTCTGGCAAGATGACCAACCCAAATCAGTTATTTTCTCCAAATTATACTGAAACTGGGATCTTGCTTAGTTTGTTGTTTTCTTCTTCTGTCTTTCACATAATTTTCCCTTTAAGGATCTAATAAAGTTGATTGAAGGCATGAACACAATATCCCCTTTCTTCTACTGATGTCAAATCCAAGTCTCTTACCCACATTGTTTTATAATTGAAACAAAATACCTCTTATGTCCAATTCTGCTTTCCATACCACTGTGTTATCCCAAATCTAAATAAAAAAAAAACCCTTAGGTTTCAGGACTATGTCAGTTAAATTAAATGTAATGTGTAACTTTCTAATTTTGAAAAAAAAAATGCAACAAATGGAAGGAGTTTTGAAGACATATTTGGCAGAAGGATGGATGTTCTTCAAAGGAAGGAAGGAAACATTTCGAAATGTAATAAAATTTGCTTAAAATTTTATTTTTACCAGGCAAAAAGTATCTTTTTATTTCATGGCATATAGCATGCTGTGAATTTATTACTAACAGAAAGTAAAAATTATTGAAGACAGAGCAATATTGCTTTAATATATGTTACTAATGAGAAGTAATCTTTATCTTGACTTGGTTAGAAATACTGAAGAAATTAAATTCACAGAAATTTCAGGAAAGCTGGCTGGCAAACACTTAGTGAAGACAGATGTACGTTAGTAATTCCCACTGAGAAACAGAGACTAACCATTTATCCTGAAAGAAGTAACTGGCCCATCAGCTGACATATCTGCAGCTCATGTCAACCATGCTGCCTACAACCATTTGCCCAGCAGAACAGATGATAGGATATAGGAAAAGCTGAGTGTCATGCAGGGGAAACGTACACAGCTTGGCATACTTGAAGATGATATTAAATACTGGGCACATTCAGAGAAAACCAGGTTTCAACATTCTGATGCTCTCCAACAAGTTTTTTCTCGTGAAGTATGTTATGTATATTATCCCGCTGCAAATATCAAACACAATATCAATAAAAGTTATCGATGACACAGCCAAGTTAGCTTCTGAATTTCTATTA